TATCGAAGTCGCTAACCTGAAAAGTCATTAATTAAAAACATAGATATGAATATTTATTATCAAGAGCCAATTTCGAAAAAATAGTCTTAAGCAAATTGAATAGTACAGAAATTTTACGTCTTTTAGTAAGAACCATCGAGCTAAATTTTAGTTTAAATCTACAATAAAGATCTGATATGAAAATTGTTTTAGAAAAATTGAACATAAATGATGTTTTACTTCTTATGAAAACGGACAATAGAATAGGAATTAGAAAATTTTTCGATAATATGTTATCAGGCATGGATTCTAGCTACGCTTCTTTAAGAAATTCGAATAGTGAAAAGATTTTACAATTATTGGTAACGGCTAATGATTTTCAATACAGAAAAACTGTTAATAACTTATTAACAAATATTGAAACTATTTTGGGAAATTTAAATGAAAGGGAGATTTTTCAACTTTTGATGATGGCTAAAGTGTTAAAGCATAACATAATTACAGATCGTTTATTTTTAAGTGAAGGTTTTACAAAACTCATTTTAGACAATTTAAATTGTACTGAGATCTTGAATTTATTAATAATAGCTGATCAAATGCAACTTCAAAAGTTTTTTAATCATATGTTAAACTTTATAGATCAAAAGCTAGAGGAATATATGAACCTTGATGCATTTAGCGTAATTCGAATTATTTTTAATAATGCTGCATTTAAGTCTCTTCATGATCCATGTCTTCACCTTATATGTATCAACCCTAGATCATTATTTGAGCATCGAAAATTTACTCAATTGGATAAGTCAATTCTAATGCTTGTATTACAACGAGATGATTTGGGCACATTAAAAGAAATAAATATCTGGAATTATTTAGTACAATGGGGTATTGCTCAAAATTCAATTATTCTTCGTAATAACTTTAAGGAATGGAGAAAAGAAGATTATGATATATTAGAAAAAACCATTCATGATTGTATCCCTCTAATTCGTTGGTACCAAATGTCAATGCTTGATATTTCAGAGAACTTGAATTTTCTTCAAAATATTATATCAATAGAACCAATTCTTCATTATCTTCATGGTAATACGACGCCATCAAATAGAACTACAACTTTACCTCCAAGATATACACCACCTAATCATATGTTTCATGTCAGGCTACAACATTTTGATATTATTGCAAGTTGGATCGATAAGAAAGATTTGAACAACTCATCAAATAATAATGAACAAATAACTCCAAATGAATCTTTGTATTATAATTCTGACAATAATCCTTATAATTTCAGCCTTCTTTATTGTGCAAAAAGAGATGGATTTAATTCAAAAGAATTTCATAGATTATGTGATGATAAAGGACCAACTGTAACAATCATAAAAATTATGGATCTAGGAATATTCGGTGGTTTTAATGCTTTAAGTTGGAAACATCCTGAATCAGTAAAAACTGATAATACTAATTATTCAATATCAGATGATAATTTTTTATTTTACTTTGATAACAAAAATGATTTTAATATCTCTAATCTCTCACGTGTTAGAAAGAATTGCTTAGTTGATAAATGTTATTCTCTTCATGGTCCATGTTTTGGTTGGAACAAAAAATATAAATTTAGTAATGATGATAGTCATGACATATATATAGATAATGATTATTTATATATTTGTCAAAGATTTATTCATAATAGTCATCCAAATTTTAGTATATTTGAAAAATTACAATCAAAATATAAATATGAAATTGAAGATTATGAAGTTTGGCAAATTGTTAAAAAAAGCGATAAACTTTCTCAATAAAGATTTATAGTAAATACGTATTTAGTCAATATCAATTATGTTACATCTTTCACTGATTATCATTTATTTAAACTTCATAATTTGATTGGCTTCAGTAATTGAAGAGTCTACGGCGAACAATCTAGTTAGTAGGTTAGTCATGGCGCAAACATTCAAAGATCACGTTAATTTCCGATCTTCAATTTCATAAATTTTAAAATTTATTTAAACTTTGAGTGAAAGTATCTAGACGACCAGTTATCCAAACTAAATAAAATTTTTTATTCTGATTATATGAATTTGTAGAATCAAAATAAACCAAATTCACCGTTATTGGATAAATAATCGTTGAGATAAAGTATCCTTCCTCAAAGTCATACAAAATTTAAGACGCATATTTAAAGATACAAATTGCGGTAAATTTTTTTAACACTTTGAGCGAAGATAACTCGATGAAAACTTATCAAAATTCGATGTACTTTCTTATATTCTGATTATACAAATTCTTAAAATTAAAATAAAAAAATTCATCAAGTTTGGCTAAATATTCGTCGAGATATCTTCGCTCAAAGTTATCAGTTATGCAAAATTTAAAATGCTTATTTAAAGAAGTTGAGCAAAGATATCTCGACTACCGCCTAAAAAACCAATGAATTTTTTGTTAATTCTGATTTACAAATTCATGAAATCAAAATAAAAAAAAAACATCCAATTTGAATAAGTGGTCATCGAGTTATTAGGAAATTCTGTGCTAGGTTAGTGACAAATCAATTTTCGAGGATCATGATCAAACAAACGTTCGTTTTGTCAAAAACGCTTATTTTCTGAAAATCTGCATAATAGACCACCTACTGAACTAATTTTTCCATATTATCGATTCTACGTAACCCTATCTCTTTCCACTTTACTAGAAATCATAG